GTGATTGCGACGGCTGGGACACGAGGAGTTTCTGTGGGCTCGTCCTCTTCTTTTTTGTGGGCACCCCCGACGTTTGTGCTGAAAGGGAAGCCAAGAGTAAACCAAATCACGAGGTGTTGTTGTTTTTTCGGGGGCGAAACAAAAAAAGAAAGACACACCCAAGTGGAGCTCACAACCAATCCAAGGTGCGCTTTAATACTTTTTGCTTCCGTGACTGGATCACAGGCTCGCGAGAACTGAAGGTTTTCCGCTCGAATGAGCGAGCGACCAAAGCTGTGAAGTGGTGTTTGTTCGGCGCTCGCGGTGTGGAAAGCAGGCGGCCTCTCAGGAGTAACCAGGGAGAACCGGTGGCACGTTCAACTACTTGGGAGGCTACTGTGGATGGACGAAATCCTGCACATTCCTGCACCACCTAAGACTCTGGAATGATGATTCCCCTGCAAATACCAACAAACCATAGTTTCCACCATGGTTTGAAAGTGGTGCGGAACGTATTCTGTTGGGCCCATCCACAGTATGGCTGACTCGAACATGTCTGATATTTGTGTGCCTCGGTGCTCGCTCTCCACACTCTGCACCGCTATGCGCCTGGGGAGGATCCTTCTCTCAAGGGCGCGTGGGTATTTTGTGGCCAGGCTACGCGTTTGGTTTGAAGTCTTAGTGCGGAATCAATGGATCGAGCTTGGAAAGGCAACATTTGGATGCACACCGACGCATGGGCCATAGGTGCCATATGCCATGCGCATGAAAGCCAGCTTTAAGCGGTTGCTTACGTCATGGGCTCAAGAACCAAGCCACTATGCTCCAAGCTTCCAGGTTCGGCACTCAGCGCACCCTGCCCCCCGCGCGGCACGTTTGTCGCTGGGTCTGCGTTGTGAACAAAGCAGGCAGCCTTGGGCTTCGGGGACGGGGGGAAATTCCGTGGGGATTCAGAAGTCCGCTTTGATCCAGCCCCTACCTGAAAAGGTAGTTGGCTTCTTGTTTTGTCAATATGGACCATATGCTCTACGGTTTGTCCACCAACCACTTTTGAGCTGGTTTCTTATGGAGCCTTATCACGGTCGCAGCGCTTCTTTGGGATCAGACATGTAGGTCTTTTTGCTGCTCTCTGGGCTGGAGAATCCCAGACGATCCATAGGCAAAAACCCACATTTACCCTCAACATGTCAAATGGCTCACATGTTGGTTTGTATTACCTACTTGGATTGTCTGGGAATGGAGAATGCAAGTCGTTTCATTCCTCCATTGGCGTCCATTCAGCTGGCTGCCTGCTTTTGGTTTCAAGGAAGCCAGATCCACGAGGCTCTGTGCCAGTCTGGTCGTGGCTCTTGCAGAGGCAGAAGTTCATTGGCCGGGCTGGAGCATGCCGGGGCCTTGTTTGGCGCGAAGAATTCATTGCTAGAAAGAGCGGCAAGCCATCCGGTCCCTTAGCTGTTTAGATCCTTTTAGTTGGTTTAGTGGTAGTTTCCGTACTAAAAGTTAGTCATTTTAGCGGGGGATCTGAGGGCAGCCCAGGTATGTCAACGACCCCTCGGGGTTCTTCGGATGCAGCACGTCAGATCTGCATCAATAGGCCTCTCACCCTGTCGGAGACGGGTGGTGAGTCAAGTCTCAGATACGAGATATTTTGTTTTTCTCTACTTTCAGACAAGTTTTGCTCGGGTTCTTGCATCCAATCTGTGTCCCTAAACTCACCGAGTCAACAAGTGCTGCCACTGAAGTGCCGCGGGCTCGATTTCGAGAGCACCCGCTTGGCGCTTGCAAGAACCAGACCAACCCATTGGGGAGTTGGTTGCTTCGCTTGGGAGTTTGTTGCTTCGACCTTGAGCGGCAATCGTTTCATTTGTGAATAGGCTAGGTGACCTAACTAATGCCAGTGCGGTGTGTCGTGTTCGGTCATTGGGAGCAACTGAGGAGAATGCGTGTGAGCGCAAGCACTGCAACATGCATGGTGTGCTGCGTGTGCTTCCACGCAAGCGGGCACGTGCTTGCGTGCTTGCATGCTGGTATGCATGTACTCCTAACCCAGCCAAGACCAGCCTCAAACCCACCCTCAAAACCCTAAGCCAGCCCGAAACAGTCCCTTAAACCATCCAACTCTAAACGAACTCTAACCAGCACTAAGCCATCCCTAAGCCAATTTCAATTAATCCGAAGCAAGCCTAAGCAAGAATTATGCTTGTCTAAATTCAAGAGGCAAGTTTTTACGCCTGAATGATCAGTGCTTAGCCTCGCACATGGTGTGCGCGCGCAGCGCACGTACAGAGTGTGCCTACGTACGTACGCGGGCACTGTGCGCGCAAACCGTCAGCACGCCCTGAATAGAAGTGTGCCCCAAGATGTGCAGGGCGTGTTTTTTTTTTTTTGCAAAATCTGCTGTTCAGGCAACCCTCAATTGGGCATTTGGATTGGTGGCTTGGGCGATTGAACCCCTGGTTCTTGAAGAGGGTAATCGGGAAACCCTCCAACCACCAAACCACCGGGCTCCAAACCACCAATTAGAGGGAAGCTGAGCTGTGTTTTTTCTGCGCGCACCGAGTGCCTGCACAGCAAAGGTTGCACGCGTGGCCAACCGCTCGCCGTTACGCACACTCGAGGGCGGTCGCCGCGTAGCCGTATGCGCACGCGTAAGCCCGCCCGCTCGCCAAACTGCACCGTGCAAAACGTATAGCTTGAAGCCCCATCATAGCATGCCTCGATCATAGCATGGACTCTTGACTTGCAAGAACCCTATTACAACCCTAGACCCACCCCAAACCAACCCTAAATCAACGCAAGCTTGCATATACCTGCACTAAACCAGTCCTAAACCATCCTAAACTTACCCTAAAAACCCTAGCCCCAGCCTGAACCAACTAAACCCGACCCTGACCCCCCAAAAGAAACCCGACACAACCTTAGGCCCCCTAAACCATCGCTAAATCCACCATAAGCCTACCCTAAGCCAGCCCTACACAAAAAGCACCCCTAAAGCACCCCTAAAGCAACGCTAAGCAAATCACAAACCCGAAGCCAACCATAAACGAACTCCAAACTCACCCTAAACCAGCCCTAAACCCACTCCAAAGCTACAACCCAAAACCGCCCCAAATGAACCTCACACCAACTCTAAACTCAGCCTAAACCAACCCGAAACAACCCCCCAAGCAAACCCTATACCAACCGCAAACCAATTGCCAAACCCAAACCCACCCTAAAGCCAACCCTAACCCGGCCCTAAACCAGCCCTAAACCAACCCTCAACCTTCCCTATACACAAGCCCTAAGCCAACCGAAACAACGCCTGGGAATGTCGGGGGTGTTGAAATGTGGTTTAAACCACGGAGTTTGGTGCCTGCTAAACCTGGGAATACAACCTTCCAACACAGCATCTCCTTGGAATCGAAACACGGTCAATGGGCATAGACGAAGCTCACATCGACCTGATTGCGGAGCCATGGCGAAGCATCGACTTCCACACTTGTTTCAAGTGAACATGAAACAGTGTCTCAAGGCGGGGTCAGCTTTTGATAGCATCCCGCATCGGCTTTCCGTGTCCAGCGAAGCATCGGCTTCCACTCTTGTTTCAACTGTTTAGCCCGGTTGCTTTGCCGGACTCCTACAGCACTTCCCCATGTGAGCCAGGATAATTCTACGCAACCCGGCCCCCAGTCGGGACTCTTGGCAAAGACGTTATTTACATTTACATGTTTCTCAGCAAGGGGTTAAATCGCCCATCCCTGGACCACAAACCGGATTGCGCTTCGGCACTACGCTTGCAGAATCGCAGCCTGCATGTGGCCCAGGCGGCCCGAACCGAAAACCCCGTTTTTCGAATCGAAATTCGGTGCACGCGGCTTTCAAGAAACACCCCATGCGGGGGTGCCGATGGATGGGTCGGCATCCTCAGGGAGACTCCAAGTCTCAAAACCTTCGCTCCGGTCTCCGCAAGCGTTCAGAAAGACGCTGGTGTTCCTTTTGTGTCCAGGTTTATGACTCTTGGGGTTTGCTTGGGTCACTTGGGAAACAAACAAAAAGTCAGAGCCGAGGGTGGATTTTCGTTTTCCGAGGACGTCGGAGCCTCGATTTTCGGCGGACTTGCGAAACTGTGGCCGTGCTGTGGTTCTGCCCGGCGTCCAAAGCGTTTGGGACCGAACTTCCATCCGTTTGGGATACGTTTTGGATGTTCACCTTTTTGTAGTGCTTGGTTCCATCTAACGGTGTTCCATGTTGGGCCATTTTTGGATGTTCACCCATTCACTCTTGCGAACGGACCTTTCTCGACCCAGTTTGATTTGGTCTCCCGGGCAGGTATAACGGCATTGGCACAAGCTCCGTGCGGAGGAAAAGAAGGTACGGACCGAAAAGAGGAAAAAGAACGGCGCGAGAGATATGGCTATGAATCATAGTAATCCAATGGTTGGAACCACCTCATTTCAGCGGGCGTAGATTAACGGAGTCCCTAGTCAAAATAATGTGCCAAGGTGGCAGTATGAAGTTGATGCACGAGGTGCTGAATAAGTACTATGAGCAATGACCCCAAACCCTGATTGGCGAGTGCAGTAGTTGAAAGTGCTTTTGTGTTGGGATGGTACAAAAGTCACCTCGGGGATTTGAGTGACCGTTTTCTACCTGAAATCAAGCCCATGGTCAAACCCTATGGCCTATGGTCATGGCATTAGGAAAATCTTTATCACAGTATCACGGTAGGATCACCATCCCAACATTAACCCCAAGCAAAAGGAACTGGTCTTTCAAACATGGCAGACATGGGTTCCTTTCGGATGCTAAAAACACAGTCCTGCGGCGATAGGAACTGGTTGAGTGCCTTGAATTGGAGAAACATCTTTGTTCTCCCCACTGCAAATAGCGCGACAAACTCACTCCTGGCGTGTTTTTTTTTTTTTTTTTTTTTTTTTTTTTTCGATTCTTGAGGGCATCCCCTCTTTTTTGGTGGTTTCAAATTGGACAAAGCAAAACACGGCCAGTTGCAGGATCGGAAACTGGTCCATGCTTCCGAGGACCAACGATCCGCCCCGCGCAGGCGCGGTGCCTGTTCTCTCTCCATGGCTTTTGGGTTCTCTGTGGGGGAGGGTTTTAGCACAAGACTCGCTGGAAGCTGCGGCTACTGTTGCGCGCATCTGATGCAGCCCTCCGACTTGCGGCGAACCTTTCCAATCCACAACGGCGTGCAAACTTCCTGCCAAACGACCTCAGGAGACTTCAACTTAACCCACATAAACCCAAAGAAAACTGTAGGGACCTCCCCAGAACAAGAAAACAACAACCCAAAACGCATAGGAACCCCGCCTCACCGCAAAAAAAGGGAGCCCAACAACACCGACACTGGGAATTTTCTCCCCAAAAAAAAGGACCCCCAAGAAAGAAGAACAAGCTTTCATTTGGTTAAGACCCCTGGAAAAAATGAAGCATTTCCAGAAGTGATACGTAGATTTCCTTTAAAACCAACATGGGAAAATACAAAACATGTTCTTAACAAATGGAAGCAAACAACAACCCGGCATGATTTTGTTTAAGGGCAAAGCAACACGAAGCGATGCAATTTTAGGGATCCCCTTAGTTGTGACAAAGAACCATTTATTTTCCAGGTTCACTGACTCGGGTTCACTTGAAAGTGTTGTGTTTCTTGCGCTTCTCACAGAGTTGTTTGCATTTATCAGAGTGGACAGATGGTCAGGCCAAACGCACTATGACTACAGCCCTAGCGACGCATAAGAAGTCGTTTGGTCGAGACTTAGGGCTAGATCTCTTAATTGTGTGGTTAATACGGCGTGTAGACGCCACTCTGGAGCCAGGGGGCCTGAATTTCTTTGCAATGTCGCAACCTTGTCTTGATTTGACTGGTTGTAATCCTGCCTTGCTTAGCAGGCCGGAGTTTCTGAGTGAAGCAACGAGGGAAAAGACCGAGAAATTGAGCCCCCGATTTGTAGCGAGGATTGTTGCCTCAGCACCAAGCACGCCAAGAGCAGTGCAGTATCGCACCCGTTGGCTTCTGGGAAATCCGCATTGGTTCGATTCGCCTTTTCGGTTGACGGGTCTCTTTGCTAAGAATTCCAGCCTGGGTCCTCCGTCTCCGGGTTATTTCCAGGAGACCCTCTGAAAAAAGGAGTTTCAGGTGTTTCAAATGCATGAATCAAAAAGCAGGAGTGGCTTGCAAAAGGCAGGAGTGAAAATCAACAGTTCTTGGGGGAAACAACTGTGCCTTTTTTCGTTGTTTGGGCCAGGAATTTTACAACTCTGGTTTGTGCACTCGAGGGGTATTCCACTGCTTTTACTGAAGATGCACTCTCCGGAAACTCCTTTTTTTCCCTTTTTTATTTTTGCGGGAGCTTGTGGGTTTTGCGGGAGGTTTCGGGCTTCTTGCGTTTTATTTTTGTTGCGCCGGTGCTTTCCGGTTTTGCCAATTGGTTGCCCAAAGGCGCACATTCTGAAGAACTCCGAGTTCAGAGCAAGGGAATCTGAACAGGGCCCCTTCCATCAAGTACGGTTTCCAGGGGCTTCAGATGCGCAAGCCAATTTCCAGGAGTGACCCAAAAGATGTCTGGGAGTTTTCCCTGAAAAAACCAAACTCCTTTTTGCACTGCTCCGTGTTTTTTCACTGCTCCGGAATTTTTAGTTTAGTATGTTTAGTCTCCAGAATTGGAAGATTCAGGGCACACTTTCTCCTCGCGCGGGGACTCCCGGAACCCCCACTAAGAAATTCTGGGCTCAATTGCAGGCCACTTACCGCTCTGTCTCGGCTGCATTTGTTTTGTCGGACAAGTTTGTCCAGAACAGTGTGGGGCAAATCCAGGGTATGGGGCTACATATGCTACAAGCATATTTTTCGGGATGCTGGATTTCTGGTTTGCGGATTCGAAGCCCTGTAGGGTAAATGGGAAACCGCCTCCAAACCCTCGATCCCTTTACTAGCGAAGCCGCTGAGCTACCAACAAAAAGCCGCGAAGAGAGACGACTCCGCGACGCCGCGACGCCAGTGACATCCGCCAACCCCGAACACGAGAGGTTGGACAGGGCTCCTCAAAGCGATACATTTTGCAACCATTTGAAACATCGTTTTTGCACCAACATAAAGGGAAACCACCATTTACAAGGCAATGTTCAGGTGTATAATGTAAGGATCCCTGTTGGACCGCAGGTGGGCAGGCCAAGGCGGACGCATACCTCGAGTAATCCGGGAGCATACTTGGACCACCCAAGATGTTTTTTTGTTTTGCGAATGTCCGCAAAAAAGTCCGTGCATGTTCGTGAAATCCATACATTTCAGCAAGAAGGGTATATTTTTTCTTGCAGGAAAACAACCACACACAAGCATTCAACTTCTTCTGGCTAAAGCTCACCTTCAGTGACTCAGCTCGGGCCCCGGCACTGGAGCTATGCAGCTAAGCTCATGGGCCGAACAGCCCATTACAATCTGCGCGAGTCACCCAGACCAGAAGGTGCGCGCGAATATATTTTTCTCCTTCCCCACATGTTCCGCGGAGGGCCTTTATATGTCGCGCCGATTTTTACGGTGTCAGCCTTCTTTGGCTGAGAAAACTGCAAAACTTGCAGAAGCAAGGGAACTGTGACATGGCCACATGGCTCGCAGCAAACGGAGACGTAAGGCAGGGAAGCGGAGTGAAGTGTGAGGGAATATAAATCGCATGTGTCTAGTGAGTCTAGGAACACGCTTGCCGCCCGTTTTAAGAGTGTTCATGCACCTTTTTCCGACATGTACGAGAATCAGAGAATGTCTATGCTTTCGGAGGGTCCAGGTATTAAGCAAAAGGCGATTGCAAGAAGGCCTCCTTTCGATTGAAACATCCGGCCAAATGCAGTCGTAGCAATTGTTTCCAAACAGATCTACAACTTGGTGTTTAGTATAACCTGAAGCTCCTTTTGTAGCACATGTTTTTGTCTTTTGCTGGTGTGTTACGTAATTTGTAATTGTCGTACCTTTTTCAAGAAAACGGCCAGACATATCCGTTTTGACTCGCTGTTGTATATGTGTCCTCCAAGATGATTCGCACGGAGCGCGCAGAAATCGAAGTGCAGAACGAGCGCGGATATCCGCAAATGAGCACAAGTTTACAAACCACGCTATCACCTTCCTTCGAATATATGTTCAATTAAACCACTGAACCACACCACGCTGTTTTTGAAGGACCGCGCGGTTTTCAAAGCATGGAGCAGAAAAGCATGGCTCGAAGACGCATTTTACGCAACCCAGGTTTGTGTCACAATGGGGCTTCAGGAAGTAACGTAACCATCATATATGTTGACCTTGGCACGTGATAGAGCCCCGCAACTCAGGTTGGTGACGTGCAATACTTGCTGAGATGTTCCGATTTGTACAACTGGATGTGTCCGGCTTGCACAGGACATTTTCCGCTTCCGATTTCGGGAGCCATCAGAACCCGTGAGCCAGTGAGGCCGGTGCGCCGATGACTGTGCCCCCGCGTGCCGACAGGACCGTGGGCGTTTCTGCGAGAGATTTGGAGATGCCTAAGTGGAGGAACTTGAATTCATGTGGGCCATGGTCACGGGAGAAGTGAGTTGAAAGGCGTGAGAGCTTCAAACATCATTTCAAGCATGTCCAGGTTGGGCCTCCCCAAGATTCCACGTGCCCTTGGCATACCCTCTAGACCAATCAGTCTGGAAGTTTGTTTGGACCTTGATGCTTCGCATTTTGCTTCACGTCTACATCAGCAGATCTTCCGCGAAAATACAAACAGGCGTCGCCAAAAAGGCGCCTTTCCATGTGCCGTTTAGCTGATCACACACACTCAGACACACAGACACACAGACACCCAGACACACACGCACACACACAGACACACACAGACACACACATACATACACATACACATACACACACACTACACACTACACACTACACACTACACACTACACACTACACACTACACACTCACCAAAAAAAGCCAACCTCATACCGGTCTACGGTCACATGCGGATTTCTCAATTTTCGACTCACGAGTTTTCTGACCATGGCAGATATTAGCAATGGCGAATATACAGGGGCTGATGATTCGCGTGGGATAAGGCCAGTACAGAGGCAACCAGGGATTGGACCGCGTGTGTGGGTGCTTGGGTGTGTGCGTGCGTGCGTGCATTTGTCTGTGTGCGCTTGTGTGTGTGCATGCGTGTACGAATGCTCGTGTGTGTGTGTGTGTGTGTGTGCTTGTGTGTGTGTGTGGGTGTGTGCACGTGGGCGTGCGCCTGCACGTGTGGTCGTGGGTGTGAGTGTGTGTGCGTGTGTGCGTGCGTGCGTGCGTGCGCGGGCGGGCGGGCGGGCGGGCGGGCGGGCGTTTGTGTGTGTGTGTGTGTGGTGTGTGGTGTGTGGTGTGTGGTGTGTGTGTGTGTGTGCGTGCGTGTGTGTGTGTGTGTGTGTAGTGTGTAGTGTGTAGTGTGTAGTGTGTAGTGTGTAGTGTGTAGTGTATAGTGTGTAGTGTGTAGTGTGTAGTGTGTAGTGTGTAGTGTGTAGTGTGTAGTGTGGTCCCCCAAATTTCAACATGGTGTGTTTTCTTGTTTCTGTCCCTCTAGAACCTCACAAAACAGGAACCCAGAAAAAAGACGAGCCACCATACCGTTGACCGAACAGAGGAAGAGACTTTGCCCACAACCATCCCTCAGATTGATGTCTTTTGGTTTGGGTATCTATGTCCTATCTATACACGTTGCCATAGGTTTGTTAGTAACTGGAGCCCCTCTGGGGATCTCTGGGGCTTGAAGCCATCGCTGGGGTCGCGCCAGGCAGTGGCCGGGATGGAGTGGATGGAGCGGATGCAGCGAGATGCCCGGAGTTGGACCTTATCTTGGACATGTTGTACATCGGTTCACTTAACATTACTTTGGTTCCCCTACAGATCTACGTTGGTTACACTGGTTCATAAACAGGAACCTTTTACATTGCTGCTGCAAAGGCGCAGTCGTGTGAACTCGTGAACTGGCGGCTTGTGACAGGGCGGCCACATTTGCAGTTGGATGTTTCTGATGCTATCCGAGAATTAGATTGTCCGTACAGAGAAGGGTACTCGTAGAGTCAACCCTAGTTCTGCCTCAAAGCCCATTGCGCAGAGTTTCAGCGTCCACCTGGAACCTCCAATGCGACTAACGGCTGGGGTGGGTTTGGGCTAGTCTTGCGGATTGGTCGAGTCAGAGGTCCTGCTTGCAAATGGGACGAAACGTTTCTCATGGTGTTTGTTGGGAAACATTTTACATTTTTGCTTATTTTGGTTTAGTGGGAAATCCGCACTTACCTGCTAAAATTTAATTGTTTGCTCCCCTTCCAACGTCAACCAAGTTCTTGTCGGGAAGCCAACCGGAGTTTGAGTCTTAAACTCGTTGAGCCAGATAGACTCGTTGAGCCTCTTGGAGTGATTCATTCCAAAGCAAATGCGGATTCCGCGGTTTTGGCATGTGCAAAGATCTAAAGCATGATCTAAAGCACAGTTTTGGCATGCCTAAACTCCGGGAAGTGGGTCCAATGTTTTGGGGCCCAACTCCAAATTGAAAGCAGTAGAAGCCTCCCGGCTATCATTGGCCCCATTTGCGGGTTGCTGCGGCAGGAATCGTCCATCGTTGTCAACCAAAACCCAACCCAAACCCAACCAAAGCTAGACAATCCAAAGAGCTTGCAAAGTCAACGAGCTGATGTAAGTAGTTTGTTCTGTGAGTATAAACAAAACACAACTAATGCGGGGTAGTGATTGTGGTGAAGGGCCTCCAAATGTGGGGTGAATGCAGAAAAGTTGGCATATTGCTTTACTGCAGCTTTTTACTGGCCAGTGCTGTTCTGACCGGTTTTTGTTTTTGACTCCGCGACTTGGTTTATCGGGTTAGTGTTTTGTAGGGACCTTCTTTGGCCCGAATCGAATTGGCTTAATGGTTCATCGCTTGCAGTTGGACCGTTGGACCTGCGAGTTTTTCTTCCCCGGCCTGATAACTTGTCCACATGGGGCCCTGGCAAGGGGCTCGTTCTTTGAGTTCGGGGAAAGAAGCCGGAATCCTTGGCTTGCTTGCCTCCGATTTTCTTTCAGCCTTCGCCTTGTTCTCGCCGAGGCTGAGAAGTCGCTCGAAGGCCAGATGCCGGGGTCAGGGAATGACTCGCTCTCTTTGCTACCGTTTCAACATCGTCTTTTGTGCGTTCCAAACGTATTAGAACTGCAAGCTGAGTGCGCAGGGCTGTTGAAAGTGTTAAGAAAAGAAGAAGAGAAAAACTTGCTTTGCCACAATGAGAGTTGACTTTGTGCCGGCTTTGCATTTTGGGCGACTCAGAGACAGAGACCGGACGTGCTATGTGCGCGTTCCCTTGCACTCTAAGGCCCAGATGCCTGCGGGTCAAGGAGTAGATCCCTGGCAAGACATGCTGATGGTTGCGAAGTTGTCGCACCACCCAAGAAATCCTGGAATGAGTCGATTTTTCCTGTAAATACCAACAACTAATAGTGTCCCATGGTTTCAAAGTGGTGAAATGGATTGCGTCCATACACAGTATCACTGGGCATCCATTTTTTACAAGGACGTGTGTTTCCTCTTTTGGCTGCAATACTGTTTTTGTTTGTTTGTTTCCTTCAAAAAGACACCACGGTTTTCGCACTTCTGTCTTTGAATTAACTGTAAGCTTTTTGGGACTCTGGAGAAAGCGACAGTTCAGGCTTTGGTCCATGGAAGTGAGTTGTCCAATGCGAAATCATAGAAGCAACTTTTTGTGCGCACACCAGGCATGGACCGTCATGTTCCGAAGCCTGCCAGGTATGCGAATCGAGTCAGCGCGAATGATTCGGCGCAAAAGAGTCTGGCGCGCTTTTGCAGAAGGGTGGTCCGTTTTCGACCTAGGGTTCAACCCCGCTGAAGGAATGGTTGACCCAATTCGGATGACGAACCCCCTTAGGTAAGTAATGGTGGCACATATTAACCTCGGGCCCATTGTCTTAATCGTGGCTTGAATTTCAGGGAGACCCCATAAACCATCCCCCATGGTTTCCTTTAAGGGAATCCCTAGGCTCATTCCCAACTGGGTCATTCCCTGAGCACCAAGCGTTGAGAGCTCCCGTTTCTGGGCAACAAACTCGTGATTGCTCCATCCACAGCTTGCCTCGTGCATTTTAGACTTGCTCTTGAACATTTGGGAGGTGTGTGCTTTTGAGGCTACCTTTTCAGGTGGCTTGAAAGAGGAGGCCAAAAGGAAGCCCCTTTTTGGGTACCCTCCGCTCATTGTGTGTGTTTCTGTGGTCAACATTCCGTGGAAAGAGCTCGAAGCAAGTCGCTGGAGCCTGGCAAGGAAGGTCTAGAAAAGAGATGTGTTCTCAAGAGTCTGGGTGAATTATAGCGACCTCACAGGACCTCACCCTAAATGGTGGTTATGTGGGGAAGATCTCCCCAACCACCTTATTGCAGGTTGGTGAAAGTTTATTAAGTATTATAGTTCACCCAGAACAGTGCGTCCCACGGTTTCCTTTTTTGTTTTGGTTTCCTTTGAGTTTCCTTTTGGTTTCCCTGTGGGATGAGTGGTTTCCTTTTGAAACTCAAGCAAATGTGTTCTGTTGGTTCCCCGCCAACGGTTGCTCAACTATTTGCTCGAGAATATATTTTTGTATCCGTCTGGTTTTGAAGGGAATCTATGGCTGCTGAACACTAAGTGTTTTTTTCAGGAGCTTAAGCATGTAAGAGAAGAGAGCGGGGCCCCAGCAGCTGGAGGTCTTCGTTTGAGCTCACTCCCCGGAGTTTGAAGCTTCGGCTCCATCGCTGACGCGCCTTTGGTGGGCGGTGGGCGAAAGGGCCGCCATGCGCGGCGGGCTCGGATTTTGGAGGGTCGGAACTCGGAACCCGGTGGGTTTTTGGTTTGGGCTAGGGTAAGCCGAGGAGTCCCCGCATTGGCCATGATGAGACATCCGGCGTTTCTTTTTTTGTGTGTGTGTTGGTGTGTGTGTGTGTGTGTGTGACAGCTCTGATAGCAAAGAGTTTTTTTTGCAAGGAATGGAGTCGGTCCCCACTCTGCTGGGCTTGGGGATCCTGATGAGGAAACCCAGCAGAGCATCCGAAACTCCAATTAAACAGGCAGGGCCTGGGTGGATGTCTCCGCAGCTGGCATGCCTATTTCTTTCTTTCTTTCGTCTCTTCGGTTCGAACCTCTGGATACGTTTGTGATGGGACTGTCTCAGATCAAGTATGACAGCTATGAGAGCAAGCAGTTTTTGGCAGGGAATGCAACCAGCAAAACACGGAGACCAGGTGACTTTCTCCTCTCGAGGAGCGGATCAATCGTGTGTGCGTGGGTTGTTTCTGTTTGTGTTGGCGGGGCTGTTGGGGGTGTTGGGGCTGGGTTGGGGGAGCCTAACAAATCTGCCCACTGGCCATGAGACAAATCATTCCGAGCCCAAAGGTCACTTAAGCCCATTGATCGCCGCTGATGTGAGTGTGCTCATGAATGTTCAACCGCCTCCAATGGAGCAAAATGGCGTCCGAAGCCTTTGTCGTGTTTCTCTTATCAGGATGCCCAGTGGCTTCTGATCATTAGTTGACGCAGAAGCTGCTCAAGGCATTTGGAGGCATCTTCGCATACAGGTGAATGTCGAATTTAACACTGACGTGTACTAGTACCACATGATCCGCAACCAAATCAAAGAAGCAAGGGACCGGTCCTAACTTCAGGTGCCCTCCAATGGTTTGGGTGCGTCTGTTTCAGGGGATCCACAAAATGAAACATGATGATGGTTTTCCTTTTGGTCTCCCTTTAGAACCAAACCATAGAGAGCTTCCCTGAAAAAAGACATGCCCATTTAAGAGCCCATTTAAGTTAAATTTGGGCAAATGAAGAGTTGGGGCGGCTTCTCTGACCAATCCACTCTTGCAGTAAATTAATGGAAACAATCAGCTCCCAACCTTAGTGCAGCTTCATTCTTTTTGTGTCGGCAACGGTGCGGTTTGTACACAAGGGCACCCAACAGCAGGGGGGGTTCGGATCTGGTTGTGAAAGAAGGAGCTTCAATGAGCAAAGGGGCCCCATGAAAGTTGTTGGAAAGCATCAACTGTTTGATGGTGTGTTTCGTATCAGCATTGCGGGTCTACACCTGTTTCTGTAGTCCCAGAACCGTCAATTTGCCCAAAAGGAAGGCTTCCACGTTGATTTAGTCCCCGGTTAGCGGCCCTGCGTTTAGTCTGAGGCGCTTGCTGACTTGGCGTTTGGTTTAAACACACAGATACCCTTAGTTGGTGGTTTGGATTGGTGATTTGTGAACCCCTGGTTTGCCCCTCCACCAAACCACCGATTCGGCTCCAACCCCCCGAAGTTTGCTATACCCCCCCCCTGCTCCCCTTGACCTGGGCTTCCTGGTGTCCATCTCATCCAAGGGGTCCCCGACGAAGTTTGAAGCCAGACTTGCGATCGGTAGAGATGCGGGGGGATTTGAGAATCGGAATGACCCCTAGAAGAACCATCCAGTACTGGCAGTTTCCTTTTTCCGGGGGCCACCGCCTGGGTTCATTCCATTTCTCATTCCCTGGCTCTCGCACCGATCGCAAGCTCGGAAAAGGGCCCGATGGTCACGATACCGTCGGAAGCTTTTGAATGGCGACCATTTGGAGCGACACCAGGTGGATCATTATGGATTGCGCCCGGCTCAGCGGGAATGAATTCGGGTCATTTTGTTTGCCTGTTGAGCTCTTGGACGGGCAAAAAGTTCGGTGGACTCCGCGAAAAGTATTGCAAGCACGCAAGCAAGGGACGCCCCAGGCTTTTCACGGCCATGTGCCCGGGTTTGTCGTTTGTGGCTGTGGGTCAAAACCAATGGTACCATTTTGGTTGGTAGGTGAATTCACCACCCATCTTAGTCCATTTTCGTGGGGATTGAATCGGATGTTCACGAACGGGATTTGGACCCACGGCCGTTTGTGGTTGGTTCAGTTTTTGTTTTCTTCTCCATGAATCCGTCTCATGGGGACTGTCTGCTGAAGCTGCCAGAGAACTCGCAGAATCCCGACGGCGGAGAATGGATGGGGGGCCAACGACATGTTGACCTGTTTGGTTTGAGCCCATGTTCGCTGGCCCCTATGAGATGCCTTTCGCTTCTACAGTGAGTTTGGATCGCGGGGCATTGTTTTTGTTTTTTTTCTTTCGCGTCCGAGTTTTCTTGCTGGTGCTCAGCAGGGAATGAGGGAATGACCCCTCATTCCCTACCAACCGCACCAGCAAGTTTTACTGGACAGTTGTGATCGAACTGCAGGTCAGTTCAAGAAGTCAGCCGAGTGACCGAGGCGTCCTGCCCGCTGGTGGCAGGGTTTGACATCTTCCAGTCGCTCAGCGCCCTGGCTGCGAACCGGGCCCCATATGGAGACGAACCATCATGGGTTTTGGGCGGAATCTGAACCCTAGGGCCCAACCTGGTTGACCCAATGAGGACAATCCGTCAGACAATGGTGGTGATATGAACGCCATTCTTTTTATGGTGGCACATACCTTCATAGTGAAGAGGGAGGTTTGGAGGACCATCTTGAACAGGCCTTTGGTCAACTTCGTTTGCCGGAAAGAGGGTTTTAAAGCAAATGCCAGCTAGCTTTGAGCCAAGAGTGGCCAAACCTCAAGAGTAGAAAATTGGCTCACTCCTGGACTTTGATGTTTTGGGGAAGACCATTTGATTGGCAAAAAGCTTGGACCTTTTTGGCCGAAGTGAGTTGGTGAAAGGGAGGTACTTTCATGACCGATTTTTCCGCCCCTGTTCCGCGGGGTTGGCAAGATAGAGTGACATTAGTATGCTGCAAAAACAGATGGCGATTGCTGCTGACATGCCTTGGGGAAAACTGAGGGCACTATGGAGTACCCGTTTTTGTTTTTGTTTTCAAGGGAATCCCAAAGTTGAATCTACCTATTTAGGGGGGTTGCAGGGTGGTTCTAGCTCAGTCGAGACCCGTTTCCGAGCACAGTGCAAGTTGTTTTTTCATCAGACGAGAGGCTTAGCTTGAGGGCTTTGGCCCATGGATCCCTTTGAGATCCATGGACCGATGCTGACGTAACAACATGTGTGAACAATCAGCCACTGTGCGTTTTTTGTGTCTTGCGAGCCTCGCCTTCCATGCAACATGAGGCGTTCCAACTTCGATGGTTAAAGTCTGAGAGAAGCCCCGTGAAACGACAGGACCACCGCCACTACATGCATTCGGCGGATTTGGCAGGCTAGATAGCATGCTTCGAACCTCTATGTAATTGCAATGGGCAAGGGACACATTGCCACATTGGATAAAACTCAAGTCTCTCAAATGTATAACATGACAAAAAGCCCTCCTGCAACCAAAGGGGCACTTCCCGCTGTCAACCAGTGCAACTCAGGCAGCCTCTTCGGAAGGACGCCCGAGGCTGGTTGATTCGCGTTTTGGTGGCATCCGTTTTGGGCTCTGGATTCAGATGGTCAACTAGCCAAGAAGAGCTTCCTCTAAAGCTGCCTTTCTCTTTGTCACGCTCAGTTGCCCAAAAGAAAAGGGTAGCGCAAGCGGCTTGGCTGGCGTTCGACGTTGGAGAACCCTGCTCTCGAACGGTGGCCACAAGTTGGAGGACCGTTTTGTGGTAGTTGATCCGTAGCACTTCCATTCACAATTGTTGGCTGAGGCTAATACTTGTCTCGTACCCAAAGGCTTTCTAACATCTTTCTGTACAGATGCGGGAATTGAAACTAAGCCTTTTCGTCATTTTTGAGGAGCCGTTTAAAAGCTAAACCAAAGAGACGCCACTTGTTTGGAGCGGCCAAATCCCATTGGGAGACAAACCCACATAGAGCTCTCACCCCAAAATTTGTGATGCGCGACATGGTCCTGATCGAATCAGATCCCTCTTGCGGTAGGTTTAGGAGTTTAGGATACTACTTCACCCCTTCAACTTTACTACTGTGCAACGGACAGAATGCTGCACCACTGGGTAGGTTGTCCCAGCATTCGTGCTGATGGACGGCGCCCGAAGCAAGAATTTCATCCATCCCAACGGGTGCGAAGAGGATTTTGTCCAGAAAGCGCCTCAAAGATGGTTGGGCAGAAGAACAAAAAGGGAAACATCAGGGTGGTTCAATGTCCAAATCCCTGTTCGCTTGCACAAGTCATTCTGCAAGGGATCTCCCTTCTAACCCTCCCCCAATTGGGGGTTCCATGCAATTGTCTTTAAGAGGGGAGTCAAGGACCTGCAATTGCCCAGAATTTTCCCACCTGTTGGAAAAAGCAAGTTTGGTTGTTCCATGCCCGCCTTTTTAGCCTATAGTTTGTTTCTTAAAGCCCAAACCCCAATTTTCCTTGCGCCCTAGGGCGTCATGAACATTGACACCAGGCAGCTTGCATCTTCCTTAAAACGGCAGGCTCAGGCGGAAGGCTCGAGCCCGGCGCCGTATGCGCTCTTCACACATGCGGGGGCCCGAGACAGGCTACGTTTCTCAGACCTGGGGTGGGAAGGTTTCCTTGCTGGTGCGATAGGTAGGGAACAAGGGGATTCCCGAATAAAGGAAATAGCGGTCATTCCATTTCTCATTTCCTGCATCTCTCGCATCAGCAGATGTCACTGCTTACCTAAAGTCAGAACCTGCGGCTTGTCTTAAACCGACTTAGGCATGGGCTTTGCTTGAAACAGGTCGTATTGAAAGGGGAGTGGTGGCCATCTCTTTCGACCTGATCCAAAAGGTCTTCGTTTTTGTAACGGCTTTTTCGCCCATTGAATGGCAGACCAGAGGGCATCGACATGGATTGTCTCAGCCCCAAATCAAAATCCGGACATGCGCGGCCAGGCTTGGCCAAAGATCTGCGGTCCGATGGGGTGCTTGATGAGACACCAAACCTCGATCGGGTACTCGAACACAAGAAATACCATCTGCGGTGCGATGGACATCGTTTGGTTTCATTGGCTTCTGTTGGTGTTTCCAAGGATGGGTCTCAGGCTGGACCCCCAAACTAACCACCCAAAAAACGGGTACTCTTCGAGCATGGCCTTCCCATGAAGCAGTCGATTGTGAGTTTGGGGCTTAGGATCAAAAGGAGGGCCACCCAGATTCCAACAAGAAGAAGCCAGGGGACAACACCAGCCAATCTTCCCATGTACTTGACCGTCACACGACGGTCACAGTGTGCAGCCATGCCACCAAGCGAGTTCGTGGGGATTCGCCGGGCTGAGAATGAATTTGTTTTGTCGATAGTAACATGTCAGCTGAACCCCAGAAGGCTTTTTCCAGCGTAGAACTCGCAACACATGGGTGTGTGTGTGTGTGTTTTTGATGGTACTCCCTATTCACGAAAGCTAGCTGTAGCTAGCTGAAGTTTCTCCTTGCGTAAGCAAGGTAAGGGGCTCAAATGCCGAGAGATTGATTTGTTCAATTATTTGAGCCGAAAAGATTGAAAAACATCAATTTTTTAGACCCCCCACCCTCCCCCCCCCCCCCGTTTCTGGCTCGATTCCTCCCTGGTCCATCCCCCCCCCCCCAAACAGTGGCTCAGTGTTCAGCAGTCTCGGTTTGCCCGTTTTGGACTTGGTGCTACGAACTTTTGCATGTTCCACCGATTCAGCTTGTTCATTTGAGACCTCAGTCTTGTCGGTAAACCACCTCGCAAGAATCTTTGCACACGCAATCTGCAGAACCCAGAGGTGCTTTAAGACAGCTTCTGACGCCTCTCGTTGTTTTCATTTTTCAAGGTTTGCCACGCCACCATGTGCGTTTGCGTGTCGCATCCTACGAATCTTGCCGGGCCTCTCGTTGTACACAAGCTACCTATGAATCCACTCTGTCACCGACCCATCTCATGCAACAACTGCTAGCTTTCGTTCACCCGCTCCTCAAGTCATGGTTTCAAAACACCCAAAAACAAACCACCATGTCTGGGGATCCGATTCCTAAAAAAACACACACACCCACAGGACTACACCCCAATGGGGCACCTGGGGCACTGGGCACGTTTCGTGGAAGCCGAGTTCGCGTGCTCGGGGTCGCGCCCGCGGCTCATAGCGTCATAGCCTTCTCAAGAAATTTCAAGGCTTCAAGACCACGAGTTAGGGCTTCGGTGCCGTGTAGTTGATTCTTGTGTGTTTTTCTGTTTTCTGGAATGAAATAGCTTGGATTGGAGTCAAGCCAACGAATCGCTCGGCGAGCAGCGTGGCATGGCTCTTGCGCCATGATATCAGAGGCTGAGACTGAGGCGTGGAACTTCACGGCGTGTGCCTTTGGTTTGGGGAAACATCCACAACCAACCAGTTTGGGGTAACTAAAGATTATAGGATTGGCTACTTGTTTTCTCCTCAGAATTGGGGGACCCCGTGTTGGGCTCCTCTTTTGAGAAGACACGTAGCCAAAGCAACACCGGCAGGGGATGGTGAAACTCAAAATCCAGGCCCGGATCAGAGCTCAAGCGTTTTCTGAGCTGCCTTGGAGCGCTTTCTTAAAATGCCATCTTGGCAAATCCCCACGCAGACCAAATGTATCCGTGATACTGTTCGGGCTCGCTCGAAAAAGCCGTGTTACTCTTTTTGGCTAGCTGCTATAACATTTAATCAAGACCCTTCCACGGCATGGTCGGGAGGAACATGTCAATGAACATCACCTTCATCAAAGAATCCAAACAATTACAGACGCGGGAACTGTTGAAAAAATGGCTTCCTTCGGTGTAATTTGTGTCAACCCCAAACCAGATACCGAGCCTCAACCAAAGGAGCCACGCTCACGTAGCTCACATCTCCAGTTTGCCGACGTTCAAGGTCACGGCGCCGTCGGATCCCCCAATACCACCATTGCATCGGCCAAAGCCAGACCTGTGGTAATTGCCAGTGCGGTTTCAAGAGTGGGCAAATTGGGGCATTGTCTCACGTGCTGAAGTTTGCAGCACTTTTATCTCGTTTTCTGCCTTTCCGCACAGTTCGCAGCACATGCGCTGCCACAGTTCCCGCGCGGCTAGCTTTTTTCGGCCGCCGCTCTCGCCTGTCAAAGCGGCTCTTCGCTGCGCAAGTTGAAGACTACTCCTGCGTGAGCTTCTTGTTTTTCTGTTGTTCATGTCTATGGACTCAGGGCAATGGGTTCTGGTATCTTGAACATTTGTATCGACCAAGCCAACGCGAGCTGATATATATATTTGCAGTTTGGTTTTGGTGGCTTGGTGTGACAAGGCAACCAGCACGCACAACAGGCATGATGCCCAAGTGCCGCAACCAGTGAGTTGAAATTTCACTGTGCTTCCGTTTATGTCCATGTGTGTGTGTGAGCGCGAGGGTCTGTCTGTCTGCGCAAGAAGGCAACCTGCGCACGGACAGCGTGCCCAAGGCCGGCGTGCGCACACGTGCTGTGCGACGACGAGTGCACGGCCGGCGTGCACATGTGTGTGTGTGTGTGTCTGCACTGGCTGACACAAAGTCAACATGTTCGAAAACACCCCCCCCCCCCCCCCCCCCCAACCACACAAAATGGCTTGGGAGCTCACGGTCGCGAATCACGCCTGAGCACGTTCATCTTATCTGGAAAGGTCTGTTTGGTGGCAAACACAGAGTTCGGGCTTTCTTTGACCAATCCACTCAAGTGACAGGGCGTAGATAGGGGTGTGTGTTTCCTTGGTGGTGTTACAATTGTCCCATTTTTGTTCCTTGATATTTCGCGTTTTTTTCCCTTGGGCCATTGTGTGTGGAAACCCTCTCACTGCCCGTGCCAGGAGGGGTACTTGCCAGCGCAATTGGATGGCGGAGGGGTCGTGAAGGTTCGGAGCTACTCTACGCGCGCCGAACAGTCGAAGAGGACCTGTTTGCCGCACTTTGGCCAAAGGGCGCCAAAACCGGGACAAGCCGAGTAGCCAACTCAGGGGTTTATGGCCTCTAAACGAAGACAATAGCCTAGACACCAATAGAGGCGGTTGCATTTTAGGCTGTCCTGATGCAGGGGGATGGGGGCTGCAGGTTTCGGATTGCTTCTAACAGTGTCCATGAGAAACTATGCACAGTATAAGTGGCTTGCCTTTGCTGTTCCTTTGAACCACCCCGAAAAAGGGTCCCTCAAACACAGACATACAAAGACACTAGCAGTCCTGCGGGAAAGGAGGACCAACAGTACATCAAGCAATGCAAAGGCGACTGAGGGTAGCTAGCAATCTTGCAAAAGACAAGGCTACCAAGAGCCACTAAACTGAACTGTGAAGAGAACATGCAATTATCTTACACTCGCAAAACAATTGTCTTGCGCCGAGCTAATCAGGATAAGTTGCATGCACCAGCGGAATAGGCTTTCTTCCGCTGGTGCTCCCCCCCAGGGAAATATCGTTAGCCATGGCAGGCACGTGCAACTTGATTAGTCAAACGATTTAAGCAAAGCACCCCAACAACGATGACGCATCATGAAGAACCAACTTAAGCATGCAAGACCGAATCTGGGGAGGCCCTGGGGAGGCCCTTCAAGGACACATGATAACTTGCTTAATATGCTTACGCCGCGGTTGAGTCGACATGCTTCGGAATTGCTCATCACGTCCCAACAACAATTCCAGCAGCTTGTAATTACCCAAAAGCCGTCAAGAATTGGTAGGTTGCTGGTTTCATGGGGCAGCCATAGACTGAGTTTTATGGGTGAATTATAACGACCTCACAAGACCTCACCCCAAATGGTTTTCGTGGGGAATAGCCCCTAACCAAAACCAATTTCAGGCTGGTGAAGTATTATAGTTCACCCAAGAGGTTTTGGATTGGATGAAGCCGAGGCTCTGGATGAGATGGAAAGAATCCTGGGGCATCCTTGCCACTTGGACGGAGCATGTCTCGCACGGGAATTAGCTTCTTCCGGGGGGGTAGGAAGTCGCAGTGTGATTTTTTCCGACTCGACCACATGCCAAAAAGTCCCTCCACCGCCTTTTTTTTTGCCAAACTCTGAGGTGGCCATTGTAGCTATCGTGGGTGTGAGCGTCTACAACTTCAGCAGCTCAGATGCCTCCTTGCGCTTCCACGCGAGAGAATCCGCTTCTCAGCTGGAAGGTGCCATGTATTTGTTTTGCCCCCGGTCGCATCAGAACCGTCAAAAAATACTTTCTGCGCAAGAAACTGCTCATTCAAATTCGAACTTGGTGGCGAAGCCAGCCATCCGGTTCCTTAGTCTTCTAGCTTTTTAGTGCTTAGTGGCAGTTTCCGTATTTCACCCACTAAAAGTTAGCTCCACTCTTCGCGGGGGATCTGACAACGGGCCCAGAGAAACTGAATTTCTTTGCCGCCTTTTTCAGGCCAGTGGATGATTTCAGTGGGCTCCCGCTACTTTTGAAAGGGAACTCCAGCCGACTGACAAACATGTGATTCGATTCTTGTTGCAAGATCCGGGAAATTCCTTCAGCCGCTGTCAATTCCTTCAGGTTTTTTTTTTGGGGGGGGGGGAGGGCCCTCTGTTGGTTGGCTTAAAGAACAACCAAAAGGAAAACCACAAGTTTTGGGGTGCCCACTAAAATAGACACTGCATTTGATTTCACCTGATCAATGTTTAGCCGTGAACCCAAAAGCTTAGCCTGTTATGCTCAGGTGTCTTGGGCAAGTGAGACAGCAACTAGACATGTGTCGAAGGTTGAATGTATGAACCTGTGGCATGAACCTTCGGTTTGCATGCCCGGTTTGGGCGGTGATTGAAGGCAAGCAGAAAGGGCGCCAACCAGTTTTGGGGGTCCTTGATCTTCTCGAGTCACCCGTCTATATTTGCTACTAGGAGCAACGACAAGAGTGATATCCAGCAACTCACTTGCGCAAAGCCGACCCTTTTGACTTTTGACCTTTTGGTTTCTCCTTTTGGTCCATTTTTTCCCCCAAGGCACCAAAAGGTTAAACTTTTATTTTCAAGTCTTTGGGCAAGCAGGCCAAACAATATATGCCTTTGCACCAAGCTTGCGGAAGGTGTGGCAGGATTGGGGTTCTGGCAAAGCCTGCTATTGGGGGGCCCCGTCCTCTTGTGGATGGGGCCCCGAAATCCATGTCGCACCGTCTAACAAACCCTGGAATGATGCGATTCCCCTGGTAAATATCAACAAACAAGAGCTTCCCCACGGCTTCAAGGTGGTGCAGGAGCTTTCGTCCAGAAGGGCAATTTACCAGGGGTGTAATTCATGAATCTGAAATCAACATGATTTGGACCCTCTTTTCTCAACCCCCAACCTGTTTTGTGGGCCCAAACCAACAGCTAAAATGGAGGTCCAAAAGCAGGCATTTGAACACGTGTTTGCGAGCATTGCAAGAATGTGTTGCCACCATTTTTTGCCAACCCATTTTCCCTTCTTTGTTGGAAGGGTTCCCCTTCAAACTCAACCAACCAAAAAATGGAGGCCCGTTTTCCCCTGGAATTCACTGCATCTTTCGCCAAATGCAGTTTGTCGACCGTTCTGGGCTTTGGGAATGAACAAGCCTGGGGGATTGCCCGACACCGAAAACCACAAATCGGAAAAAAAGAGTGTGTTTTTGGTCTCTTTCTCGGGCTTGTTTTTTCTCCAGCCACTTCCCTGAGATATCTTCGTGTGAGTCTCCCCCAAGTTTCTTGGGCTTAGCCTCTTCAAAAGCCATCCGGGTTGGCACAGAAGTTTTTTTTCTTTCCTAGGTCTCGGAGCCTCTGGATCAGGGTCAACCACTTGTGGACGAAGGGTAGACTTAAAGCAGGTGGGTTCATTGCCCCCAAGAAGGGAATGGGTGGAAGTCTATCTTGAAGTCCAAAAGTGGAACCAACCCTGCCAAAAAATGGAAGCGCACTCTTTTTGGATTTTGTTTCTGGGATTTCCCCTATGGCAGTGGCATTCTTCCCCCAAAGAGCCCACCCCGCAAACCCGCTGAACGACTCGGCTCGACCGAGCTTCGATGGAAAGCCGACCCCGAGCTCCGAAAGCGCCGAAACCGCCGAGCTCCGAGCGCCGAGCTCACGCGAGCGAACGCGAGCAAACCTGAGCGAGGTGGAGGACTTGGCGAAGACCTACGGCGCGGAGATCACGCGCCAGATCCGGGTCTCCGTGAGCTCCATCCAGGCGCTGGAGGCCATCATCAAGCGCCTCGGCCAAGCTCGGGAGCTCGGGAGCGGGTTTGGCGGGTTGGGCAACGGGAGAAGGGGAGGCCTCGCGGTTTTGGAGTGGAAACTTGGGCGGGGGGGGTTTGGCTTTTGGGGGGGGGGGCTGTGGATTCGTCTTCCTGAGTTATTTTATCTTTTGGGGGGGGCGGCCCCCAGAGATCCGAATCCATAATTTGTTTCAGGAGTACTTGCCCCAACAAACACGAGGTGGTATCACTTGGCTTGTTTGCTTTTTGCTGGGAGCCTGCAGAATCAAAAAACTGGTTTTCTTTTGGGTAACTCAATGTTCCTAACAGGAAAGTGTCCGAACTCCATGGGGGTCCAACCTTACATGCCACAAGATCTTTGAAATCGGTGCCAAGGATCGACAGATGCAGCAGCAGCCTGGAAGACTTCGAAAGCCTGGCGAGTACTTTGATCACCACCTACAAAGGCTCCTCAGACTCGACCGGAAAGGTAGGGAGGGAGGAGGGGTCAGAGGTTTATGGGCATAGAGTCATTCATTGTTTTGATGTCTACATGAATGTGTTCATATATGTATAGATTATGTATATATATATAATATATATCAATGTGTATATTGTGTAGATAATGTGTTCACATATATATATATATATATATATGTATATATATATATAACAATACATATATATATATGTATAAAACAACATATCGATTATGCACAGGTATGATAAGTATACATCCACGCCCTCCCCACCCCGATTGTTCAGCTTGGGTGACAGAAGTTGACTTCGACAAATGCAGCAATGGCGGCGGGGCGTGCCCCTTCGGATCCAACGTCCTAGGGGTGGATTTGTCAATTCCCAGCATCAACTCCTATGATTGTCAAGGGCCCCCCCCAATAGGGCCCATAGCAGCTATACTAAGAAGGTTTCTCTTTTTTTTTTGAGGGGGGGGGGAGTGCTCTCTTTCAAGGGCCCTAACCGTGGGCTCAAAGTGGACAATGCCAACATGCTCCGGTGTAAAATGCGGCGCTTTTGTCTGAAACTTCAAGGAGGATTGGTGAATCGTTGCCTGAAAAGCCGACGTTCTCTCTGAAGCACGTTCCCATGCTCAGAACCTTTTAGCAGCAAATCTTCCGCTGGATTCTCAATCCCTCCCAAGAGAAGATCAGGACTCTTTGGAGAATCTTGATCCGGATTTTCCGAGCACTAACACATCAAAGCGCCTCAAAGCGGCTCAACGCTCACATTTTTTGGGGGAATGGTGGAAACTGATAACGAGCAATGTCTTTTGAAAGGTGTGGTTCTTTTGTAGTTGTTTGCTTGTTTGGTTGGAAGGGGTGCATCTTGGGCCTACGGTCCAACGGCACTGGTTCCGGGGCCTTCTGCTTTTGGGCCAGTGGCGCATGAATGGAGTGTAGACCGGGAATGGAAGATGCCTTTTGAGAATTTGGAGCCTTCATACTTCAACCTGAGTATTGACATGGCCATGGGTCAAAATCCAAATCGCACCCCCAGTGAACATCCCAATCCCCACCACAATGGGTTCTAAAATGGGTGGTGCACCTACCCCAAAATGGTACCACTGGTTTTGACCCACAGACACATCCGACGATCTTGATCCTTTGTGAGCACGCGTGCAGAAAGCTGTGGCTGGCGCAGCTTCTGGAGCAGACTGTTGCCAGAAACTGGGGAACACCTCGTCCGACGACGGGTTCCACTTGGTTTCCCTCTAAATTCAATCTGAAAGGGCTTGCGGGAATCGAGTTTTAGCGCGAAGCAGACTGCTGCAGACTGCATCCAAGGCATTTCCAATCTGCAGCTTGCGCCATTTGGCATAGTGACATACATCCACCCTCTGCTTGACGAGACACAGGACCAGAGATTCTTCGAACGAGCGCAAGCAGGGTCTCACTGTCAACATGTTTCTACAGATGTGGCCCTTTGAAACTACCTTTGCTAAAATGATTCGTCGATGTGGTGCCTGTGAAACTACTTTGTTAGACCTTTGGTGCATTTTGCCAAGGGATGTTAGGACTTTAACTTTTTGCCACCTAAGGGGTTTTCCGTACTAAACCACTAAAGGTTAACAACTTTTAGCAGGGGAGCAGAAAGCTACCGAGAGACCTTGTTTGCCCTTACGAGATGTTTGGTCGACCAACAGCTTGGTAAGGCCAACAAGTCGAGGCCAAAGGAAAGCGGAAAGTTGTTGTGTTTGTTTGCGGGTGTTATGTGTTTGTTGCGGGGGAAAAATGGTAACATGGCCTTATAGCAGCACCAACTGAAATATCGACTGTATTCGCCAGATCCAAGTCGAAATTGTTCTCAAGCAATCAAATGTGACTGGAATTCGAAGTGGGTATGTCCTCAACTGTGGCTATCACTATCACAATATGGCTGTGGGTCAAAACCAATGGTACCATGTTGGGGTAGGTGCACCACCCATTTCAGTCTATTTTTAGTGTGGATTGGGATGTTCACGTACGGGATTTGGACCCATGGCCATATACAACATAGTTAGCCGCTACTTGCTTTACCAAACATCCAAAGGTGTTTCTCATGTTTGGAGGGGCCACTCGGGGTGAGATCGCGTTTTGCCGCGTCGCCGGATCCACGGAATCAACGGATGCTCGAAAGGTCGCCTTCAGGGAAACCAACTAGCAGGGACACAGGGGGAACCAGGGATGGAGGATTTCCCCTCAATGCACCTTGACTAGGTTTGATATGGGAAATGGTGCCAAGGGAATCCCCCATATCCCCGCTCCGTCCGTAAGCCCGCTTTTGTCCAAGTCTTGTAAGAGGATGCGGGTTGAGGCGTTGGTTGTTCCCTCGCTCTAAGCGTTAAGCGTGGCGAAGCCAAACGAGAAAACGAGATGAACGGCCAAGTAGCCAAGGGTCTCAAATAGGGAGCTGTTTTTGGACATATTTGCAGGAGTCCTATCAATTTGGGATCCGTTTGGACGGCCATGAATGGAATCCGCGCACGGCTTCGAACAAGAGTCGGGTCCCGTCCCGACCCGAATAGCGCGACTTGGGCTTCTATAGGTTTGGGGTAGACTTAGGATAGATTTTAATTTTTACCCGTGAGCCAACAGTAACATCATTCTACAACTGGGCCTAACTCTAATCATGAGGTGTGTGAACCCAACTACTCATTGGGCAGTTGAAAACGGCACGGACAAGTTGAGGTTTCTCCGAGATCTACCCTCCCACCGACTAACATAGTGCACAGACCCCTGTGGAAAGGCTCCTTTCCTCTTGGAAAGGGGCCACATGTGCATTTCCATGTTAGTTGGTGTGTGTGTGTGTAACTAACCCAACTCAAAGGGTAGTTTGTTGTTGTTGTTTTTTGTGTGTTTCTTTTCCGCGAGCTGAGTTGAGATAGGACAACCTCTGCCATCAGCTTTGAATCTAAAGGTCCCAAGCAGCCGTGCAGTTCCGTGAAGACCTCCCAGCGGTGTTTCTTTCGCTGGGAAGCTCTTCGTGGTGTCTTCAGATGTCCCACGTCGCTGAGTGTTCGGTTCGGGATCTCTGTGGAAGATCCGAATCCAAGTTCGAACTTCGCAGAGTGGCTGGGTCTCGCCCTTGTTTCATCTTGTTGCACAAGTTTCCCTTTAAAACTAGCCCAAAAAGGGCTCCAATTCTTTTCTCCACTTGTTCAACTGTTGGAGGGGCTTCCCTAGGAAAGCAAGGCATTTGCCGAAAACAAGTTCCCACGGGAAACCTCCGGGTCTTAATGAAAGCAAGAAGAGCAGGACAACCGCGGAGCGCTGGGCCACAACCTGTTGCTGGATCCTGGCCGGAAAGAAGATGCCATCAGGACCTCCGTCTTGCACCGACTTGGGGCTTGGGGTCGGGCGCGGCCCCCTGAAATACACAAAGGGGTCGGTGCACTTTTTTGGAGTCGTTTTGGGAAGCCAAAAGGAAACGCCGAAATCCGTGTTGGGGGTCCAACCTAAACAAGACACACCCACTTCCAGTTGTTCTGGCCCCCAAATGCCAGCTGATTTGGGGTTAAAGGCAGGACTGGTTTCACAGATTTTGTAGAGATCAGCCAAAGAATGCCTTCTAGTGTTTTGGTTCCTCAAAAGGGACGCACAAGAGGGCGCGCCTGGATCTTAGTTGCCAGCCCTTTGCCTCCCCCCGTCTGAAGTGCGGGCCACGCAAAAAGGAGCTTCGGATCGGGAACATGCAGGAAACCCCGCACAGAAGCCAAAAATGGCCATCGTTTTTTCCCCAACAGCTGAAAGCTTTGGGGTCTCAGCCCAGAGAGGCTCCGGGGTGGTCCGGGGCGGCCCTGAGGTAAGGTTCCACCAGGGTTCCACCAGGGTTCCACAGGTTCCACCATGAAGGTTTCACCAGGGTTCCAGCAAGGTTCCACGAGATTCTGCAAGGGCTGCAGGGTGGTCCGGGATGGTTTGAGGTAAGGCATGAGAGTTTCAGGGTTGCAGGAGGGATGGTCCGGGGCGGCCCTGAAGTTTCACAGGGTAGAGTTGCGCAAGGATTCCACAAGAACAAGGGTTCCACAAGGCTCCACAAGGTTCCACAAGGGTTCCAAAAATGTTCTGCAAGGTTCCGTGGAAAAGCCATTGGAGCAGTAAATTGAGGGCTCAGAAGATCGCTTTGCTCATGGGCGGAACACTATAAGCAAAACCGAAATCCATGGTTTTCAGTTTTGTCACTTGCTCACTTGCTCAGGCAACGCGGCCCGAAATGTTGGCTTCGTGGGAAATCAGATCACGTTGCTGCGGGACTCACGGTGCATCAGAGTAAATGCTTGCCATTCCTGAGTATTACTTGGTGGGCTTTGGGTTCCCAAGAATTCCACAAGGCTGCAAGGGCCACGAGGTTTCCACCAGGTTCTGCAAAAGCTATGGGGCAGCCCTGGGGAAAGGTTCCAACAAAGTTTCACGCTCAGCTTTTGACGAGAGGTTGACGGGCAGGTCGGGGCCCGATTGCACTGTCAGGGCCCGATTGCACCGTCGGGGCCCGATGGCGCAGTCGGGGCCCGTCGGGGCCTGACTCAGTCCCCGTCAACTGTACCAGCTGGCATCGCCTAGTTTTGGCAGACACAGTTGTAAGGCCCCAAGGAAAACCGGCGTTGAGCTATAATATGGGTGGTTGGGGTTGCGCCACG